GGGGGGGGCTCTGCCAAATAATTTCCAGACCAGACAGAAAAGGCCAAAGATATATGAGAAATAATAAAAGGACACAGCCTGTGTGAATTTACAGACAGAAGGAGAGAAGAAGATAGCAAAACAAAACACAAAGACCCTCGCTGATGTTGAAATGGTGCTCACACACACACACACAGAGCCGTGATATTTTTCTGTGTACGTCACTGGACTCCTCTCACCTGGATTTTGACTGGCCAGGTGAAGTTGCTGACATACACGTAGAAGGTAATGTTGGCATTGCTACGGAAATCGAACTTCTCGTTGGAGAAACTGTCTTTGAATTCCTTTATGTTGCTGCGGGAGACTATAGGGATTTCCTCACCAGCTTGAGTCCCAGCTGCTCAGAAAGGAAGAAATGCAGTGTCACAGGAAGGAAGAGAGATTCAACTGCACACACAGCGCATTTATGGTGTGCTTACAATATATGTTTAACACATGATGACTGGGCTCCATACCTGCAAAGCTGGTTGCCCATGTGATGTTGAGGTTAAAGTTTTTTGAGGCATTAATAAACATGTCCAGGTCTCGATTTTGCTGCAAGAGAAATCCCCCAAAAAAACAAAAAACATTCAGACAAAACGAGCCAAAATATGAAAGAATCAAAGAAAAATATACACCCTCTAAAATGTATTTTTATAAGCCCAAACTTTTTTCACAAGTTATAAAGACATTCTGCTGTACCGTTTATACCATGGCATATCAGCAGTACGATTTACAGCATGATCCGCTTTGTAAATTGATGCACATCTATGTCTTCTGTTTGAGTGTCAACTCAAAAAAAAATAAAAAAAAATGAAATCAATTCATAAGTCATTAAATTTAAAGTCACTATTATATATAAAAAGAGACATTTATGCATGCTTATATAATATCTAAAAATATGTTGATGGTGAATTTCCTAAAAATATAAGTACACTATCATTCAATTGTTTGGAGCCTGTAAGTATTTTTCAATTGTTTTTAAAAGTCTCTTTATGTTCACCAAGGCTAAATTTATAATATCAAAAATACAGTGCAAAAGTAATACTGTGAAATATTATTACCATTTAAAATAACGGGTTTTTTTTTTTTTTTACTATATTTTCTATTTAAAACATTTATATAATTTATTCCTGTGATGGCAAAGCTGAATTTTCATCAGCACTTACTCTAATCTTTAATGTTAATATTTTGTTAATATTTTTGTGGAAACTGTGGTACTTTTTTCCCAAAAATTATTTGATAAATAGAAAAGATAAAAAAAAATAAAATGCATATAATCGGTCTTAACTGTAATTTCTGACCAAAATAATGCATTCTCGCAGAATAAAAGTATTAATTTCATAAAGAAATTTTACTGACCCCATGTGTGTGTGTACATGTATATATATATATATATATATATATATATATATATATATATATATATATATATATATATATATATATATATACACACACACACACTACGTTACACAAATCTTCAAAATTTCAAGATGGACCTCACAAAGTACACGAGGAACCCTCTGACAAGAAGCTTCTGATCTATTGTGTTTCTGCTCAATTTTAACTTAAGAATGTGCCCTTAGTAAACCCCCTTGATGCTCTATTGTTTCCTCTGTTCAACAGTGAAGTGCTGAATAAATGAATGGAAAAAAAAAAAACTTTATTGATAACAATAACATCAGATGTCCAAATGCACGTCAATCAAATTAGTTCACTATTTGGTTTGTTGTGTTTGCAAATCAAGGGAAGATGTCAGCCTTGATTTATTGACACCTAGGTTGACCATGACTGTACAAGAAAAAAAAGGACTTTCTGAACAGTGAAGTCTTTTCAGCATAACGCACCTCATCTGGAGTTGCAACAAAGTTGATGGCAGTGTAGTAGCGGTCGTCCTCCTGAGACAAACTGAAGGTAAACTGGTAATCTATCAGCAGAGTGTCTGTGCGTCAGAGATAAAGAAATAGTTGTGTGTGTGAGAAAAGGATAAAAGATAATATTGAACGTATTACTCAGAGAAAAAAAAAATATCTGGACATTTTCACAGACTGACTGACACGCGCAGGTTTGTGGTTTCTGTCTGATTTAGTCAGATAAGGACAAAATGAGTAGTTCTGAAAATGACTAAATGCCTCAAATAGCCACAATGTGAACAGCCATCAGCCGCTGCACTGACATACTCACAATAACACGTTCCCTTCAGAGGGTTGCCCTGGTAACGGTTCTCTACCTCACACCTGAGGGACAGAATGAAACAAAAGCAGAGAGTGAAAATGAGTAGAATTATAAAGAACAGAGTTTGATATAGGCAAGATAACGATAAGCTATCCGTCGTACATTTGACAAATTACTTATAATGGCAGAGTGAAGAAAACCTCATGAGACTGAGGCAGAACGAGTGTGTGTGCACACACTTACAAATGGCAGCGGTCTCCTTTGATGCCTTTGGTGGTACAGAAGCATTTGCCATTGTTAGAGTTACACATGCTGGCATGGCCGTTGCACTTACAAGCTGCAAATGACCAACACACACATCCAGTTAAGACCCTATCAAACTGCCAGCAAAAGCCAACTTTATTTTGGCAAGGGCTTGTGTTTAGACTTACACTGACAGCTGCCCCCGTTTGTGGGATCGCCATAGTAACCGGAGATGCAGCTCTCACACTGTTTGCCTGTGGTGAGGTCCTCGCATCTCTCACACACACTCTCATTGACACAAGAGCTATGTCCGTTACACTGGCATGCTGCATGAGAGAGGAACAAACAGAAAAACTGAAGAAAACGTGATCAACATTATAAAACGGCAACATTATCTGAAGTCAAACTGAGACAAAAGTAGCTACAAAAAGCGCCAGAGCAATTTGTGTTTAAAATGTTGTTTTTGTCAGCTATTTAATGCTTCAATTTCCAGCGGGTATAGAAAAGAATCACTCCCTTTAAAATATTCACATTTTGTTGCTTTGCAGCCTGAAATGAAGACGGACAGTTTTTGTTTTACACCTGATTGGGTTTACAAGTCATTTTTAGGAGGGGTGATCCTTTTTCCAACTCTAGTCATTCTAGTTTTTTTGTTTTTCTGATGTTGGTGTTATATCTTTCGTTTGGATGTTATAAGTTGTACTGAGTAAATACAGCTGGATAAAACAAAAACTGTGTCCGTCTTCATTTCAGGCTGCAAAGCAACAAAATGTGATTATTTTAAAGGGAGTGATTCTTTTCTATACTCACTGTACATTGTGATAATTACATTTTCTCTAAAATGGATTTAAAAGGTTATTCAACATTCACAATAGTCACAATGTTTAAATTAAGAATTAAAAGATCAAGGCACGTTTTCAGTTTAAGTCCAGTTTTTTTTTTAAACCAATTATATTTAATAATTTTAATTTATATTATCTTAAATAACAACATTTTTTAGTAGAAGTACAATATCGTTCAAAATGTTTGGGTCTATAAAAGAAAAAAAAAGTTTATGAAAGGCTGCATTTATTTAATCAAAAATACAGTAAAAACAGTATTAACATTATTCCAATTTAAAATAATATATTTCTATTTTAAAATATTTTAAAATGTATTATATTCCTGTGATGGCACTACTCCACTCTACAATGTCACATGATCCTTTAGAAATTATTATAAAATGCTGAAACATTTTGTAGTATTAGCAATGTTGAAAACACTTGTGCTGTATAATACTTTTGTGGAAACTGGGATGCATTTGTTTTTTCAGGATTCTTTAAATAGAAATATTATTAATAACCAAAAAAAGCACTGCAATATTCACAATGTTGCTTAATTTTTATACACGTTTTAAGTATATTAGCGTCAAAGAGACATTTTGTTACCCTTTTACACTTGTCAAACTCAACCAGTATAGAACAACTTGTATAAGTCACATGAGTTTTACCTGGGCACTGGATAAAGGACCAGTTGTAGCTGCCCTCTAGTGGGCACAAGCTGACGTTTAACATTGGCTGAGGGGCGGGAATGAGGGAGGGGCCTGAAGAAGAAGGGGCGTGGAACAGTGTTTGAATTGGGCCTCGGTAAGAGCCCTCTATACACTGGCCCCGTCCTGTATTGCTGGGATCAGTGCACCACCCACAGCCAGGCTGGTCCAAACAGTGACCACAGGTCTTGTAGCCAGAACAATTCTCCGCTACAATAAAAACACACATCCATTTGTCAAAAGGGTCATGCAGTGCAACCAACTCAAAGTGAACTCTTGACAGTAAAGCTATTATTAGTATATTCATCTGAATTGATTTTATGACAGTTGTAAAAACTGTTTTGTCTACTACAAGTCAATAAACAGAAGACATGCAAATGTTCAATCTTCGATTTACAAAGAGAAAACAAGACACAAGCTGCCAGGCATGAATCCGCTAAATGAGAGTCAGACGTACGTGGGCAGCTGTTCATGGTGTACCACTCCATGCACTGGCCGTAGGGGAAGGATGCCACATAAGCATTAGAGTCCACGCACTGCCTCGTGTTACTGCACCACATGCACTCTGAGCTCCCACTGGTGCACTCACTACAGGAAGAGCGTAGGGCACAGGGCGTCCGACACTGCTTCACACTGTGGTTCGCTGCAGGAACAGAGAGAGTCAGAGAGACAGAATGAAAAAAAGGCACAAGAGAAAGAAATGAGGGAATTGAATAAAAAAAAAATATGTATTTTTTTTTTTTAAATAAGGGGTAATAACAGGTTTTAAAAGGACTAATATAATAATGTTTTGTACATATTTTTGAAAACACTAAATTTTATAAAATTATAATAAAATCTAAGTTTTTAAATAACTGATACCAACTGTGTGTGTGTGTATATATATATATATATATATATATATACATATTATAAATTCCTGTTTTAAAAATATGTTGTATATTTACCTTTTTTAAATTATATTTTATTATATATTGCCTACTTGTGTCAGTTATTTAAAAACCTTGTTGCTGTTATTATCATTATTACTATTATATTTTGTTATAATTTTATACAATTTCCTGTTTTAAAAAAACTATTTATAAAATATTCAAAAACATAAGAAAATAATTTAAAAAAGGAAATTATATCAAATAAAAAAAATAAAAAAAATAAAAGAACAGGAATTGATCAAATAAAATATTTTTGAAACAGGAAACTGCACACTTGCACATTATTCACTGACACGAGTTCTCTGTTAATAAGACAAGCGAGCACTAGTTAATGCTGTGTGTGTGTACAGTATGTGCATCTCTTACTTGGTCGTTCACACAGACTCCCATTCACAGAGTTGACGCAGGTCGCCGCCTTTAGTCCGTTAAAAGTGGGCTCAGCCAGGTACCCACAAAAACCAGCGTCGCTGGGCTCGCCCGGCAGCCACTGCAGCGTGGAGTTGGTGAAGGGGGACATGTCCTCCCAGCACCAGTAGGAGACATTGATCTTCCTCAGACCCACCCACGGAGTGATCACTGCTTTTGACTGCAGCACACAATACAAGTCATATTCAGTTCAGTTTAATGTGTGAAGAGCTTTACAAAAACTAGTGCCTTACACCCCCCAGGTGATAAAGTCGTGAAAAAAACACATGTCATAAGGAAGAAAGACTGTGAAAGTGTGTCGCAATCTCACTTGCAATGATCTGTTATGCATCTCTTTGAGGACGAACTGGACTTTCTTCTGCGTGGTGAGGGATGCCAGCACCGCCTGGTGACTGCGACATGCCAGTTTAGCGTTGTCATACGAGTCCTTGGCTGTGATCAGCTTTAGACACGAGTTCCCCACCAGGTGCCAACTCTCCCCACAGATATTCCCTAAAACACAAACATGGTGCAATCATCAGGGATCCAGATTAACATATGACAAACATGGCAATTGTGACATTGAGTTTTAATGATGAACGAAGGCCTTTGAAATAACAAAATAATAATAATAATAATAATAGTGATATTTTCATTATTATCATGACGGACGGAGGATTTTAAATTAACAAAATAATAAATAATTGAAAATACATAATAACGACAATAATAATAGTGATACTATCCCACCATATTGTCCCAATAATAGATTTTAGTCTATATCATCATGTTCTGCTATTGTTTTTGAAACGGACTACTATAATATAATACAATATAATATAATACACATTCTAATGATAAACATAGGCCTTTAAAATAACAAATTTAATAATAAACATTATATTATTATTATTATTATATGCTTCATGCTCCAAAGAAGGCAGTCCGCTTTATTAAAGCTGGAGAGAAACATCGGGTGTGCCCACAATTAACAACAGGCCTCCTTCATAAAGCCTCGGATTGGCAGCTGCAGGTTGACCTGGGAAAACAGCTGAGGTTCCCTCAGCACATTGTAACAACAAGTCTCCGCCCAGACATGATAGTTACCTCCGAGGTTTCAAAACAGCTAATCATGCTGGAACTTACGGTTCCCTGGGAAGAGCGTATTGAGGAAGCAAATGAAAGGAAACGCGCTAAGTACCAGGAACTGGTGGAGAAGTGCAGGGAGAGAGGCTGGAGAACCTTCTATGAGCCTATAGAAGTCGGCTGTAGAGGCTTTGCAGGACGTTCACTTTGCAAAGTCCTCAGTCGTTTGGGCATTAGTTAAGTTATAGTTAAGGTCTGGCTCAGCCAGTGACTCCTAGAAATAGACTAGGTGACAACCAAGAATAGTTTGGTCGACTACTGGAGAGACAGTTGACGGCACGGAAAGACGGCACCTGGGACAGTATGGGTTAGCAACCCAGCCTGTGTCTTTCGTGAGAGAGAACCCAAACAAGCTACGGAAAGCCCTATAGAGAGATACCCCCAGGAGATCCCGAGAGGGGGGGAGGATGAGATCTCCAATCGGACGGACCAAAGGTTAACAACCCATGCAAACGGACAGACGATGAATGTGACATGCATTTGCGGAAAGCTGTGCAAGAATCATCGGGGCCTAAAAATCCATCAGGCTAGAATGAAATGTTTGGAGCGGGAGAGTGAGGTGCAACGCACAGGTCTTGAACCTGGTGAGACGCAGGAGGAGCCCGGCCAGGAGGCAACCCACAGAGCCCAGTCCCTCCA